TTTTGAGTTAATTTTATACAAATTATTGAAGTGGTGAACAGATGTTAGCCATCTTATCTCCCCCTTGGCGTTGCATTCAATTTGAGTGTCAGACGATGAAAAGGCGGAATTCTGAGGATTTTTCGCTATCAAGAATCCCAAAAACATATGTTCAATAATAAGGCATTGCATGGCGAGAGTGAAACACATTTTCTTCAAACATTTGGGGTGAAAATATTGACATAACCGTGTGCAATCACGTCTATGTTTGATGGTAGTTTCAGACGCTCTACCGCACGCTAGTTATTATTGCGTTTTTCCCATTAACCATCCAAACACGTCTTTTTCTCCCCGTTCGGTCGCGATAAGGGTGTATCATCGCCATTTTCCACACTCACTAACAAGATTATAGCAGCTCCTGTTTGCGTCTACGGCATATGAGAGTTGAGGAAAACCCAAGGAAGGCAAACATTCCGGCTGGCGAGTTTTTCCCGACTCTTGAAGAGCATTTGAAGGTCAAACCTCAGCTTTATGAGGGTGGATTTTGCCCAGCAATTCAAATTGAAGTGACCTCGAGGGGGGAAGAAGAGACTGAATTTGCAAATATTTACCCACATTGAGTGGATGGAGCGGAAAAAAACGCTGAATTGGGGGAATTAGTGGAGGGTTGGCATAACAACTCCCGAACGCTATAATGCAAGTATAATGTCGAATGCGTGATGATCTTTAATTGAATAACTTTTAGAATGACTTTGTGATTGAGGCTGACGTTGAATTTTCTAATTAATAAGCAACACGAAGTCTTGTTGAGCACATTTCGACATCAATTGCTGGCGACATGTGAATTTTGGGTCCCGCTGGAGCACGTCGGAGGGGAATTTGTGTCATTTCTAATTCACTCGTGTCAAACTTATCCAATCTTTCATTTGATTTTAGCGAAATTCAGATTCAAAACCTCGCAAAAGCATTCACATCTCACCTCACACATGATGTTAAGTATGTCTCTCGTGTGGTTGAAAGTTGAAGCAGTGCTGATTGTATGAGGATAAATCTTGTGAAAAACCACATTGTAATTTCTGTTGAATGACAATGCAAGCAGGGATTTCGCAGGGAAGAACTTTACTCCTTTCGTATTCACTGTGTCACCGCCAAAACCCCCCAAGATTGTGATTGATAATAAATTTTGACAGTGTCAAAACCACCTCCGACCGCTCGCAAACTTGTGCGCTTCTCTGCATTATTACGTGAATTGCGAAGGGAATTTAGAGAAACATAACATCCAGAATAGACGCATCTGCAAATCACATTTTGAGACACGCGCGCGTTTCACCTGCGGAAAAGCGACACATTTTCTGGAGAATGAGAAAATTCTATATGAAATCTATGATTCTGTACATCTAGAACTCTGGAAGTGCTTAAATTGTCCTTTTTCCTAAACTTTATATATTTTTTTATAACCGCCTAAAGTATCATAATCTCAAATTAAGAAGTGTTTCACACTATAATACTCAATTTCTTACTTCTGTGAGTCTAAAAACTTGCGGAGAAACAGTATTTTAGAAATATTTGAAGGTTCGACGAGATATTTTCAAGAATCCTTGAAAGAAACTAATTTAGAATGTTTTAAAACCAATACTGGAAAATATTCGTCTAAAATCTGCAATTCTAGAATAGAAAATCAATCAAACAAGACTTTTGAGGTTATGATCAGTCTTAGAACTATTAACACGGTTTAGCATTAAAAATTTATGGTTTTCATCAGATTTCATTATTATCGTGCCAGTAAATGCAAATTGAATCAACTTTAATGCAGGAATGAATGATTTTGGAGGTTATTTACTGGCAAAGTTTGTCTTAAATTCATAACATAACCTCGAAAACTATAAAGAACAATTATTTTTTCTGTAATTACTGCGTTAATTTCTTTTTAAAGTAATTTTTAATTCACTTTAAAACACTTCTACACAACTTCACACCATAATATCTCCCCCTTATGTCGTGTGATCGTGTTATTTTGGCCGAAATTCCTTGATTTTTGACATTCAATCTGTCTTGATATGTTGAGCAACGTTTCAAGTTCCAGTCTATCTTATACTGAGGTTGATGCTTAACAAGTGTCATAGTTTTTGATCCGACAGCTTCGCCCCCAAATTCACCCTGGAATCAGACGTCTTGGAATGGGACGACAATTGAATTTAATTAAACTTGCCATAAGAGTCACATATCGTGTCTGTGGCATCTTAGGCTTGTCACAATTGACACGCTAAGCAAATGTTTATTCAATTTCACATAAATTTCAACAATATGAAAGTTTTGGACGCCGAATTCTCATCGCTCGAGTGCCATTTTTGAGGCAATCAAAGTCATGATAATGAGGGTATTTTTCACAAAGCGCTCGTTGACAATTTTCTCAGCATCACGAAAATATCACCTAATTCAATTTGTCACGTCTCTCTCTCTTGAGGGATTTCCCATCATGGCCACGAAAGTCAAGGGGATGAAGTGTGGAGGAGGGTGAAAAGCTCATTATTGTATCGAATGAGTTTTTCTTTGATATTCAAATGAATTTTCCGCCAAATCTACAATTTAAAATTTACAATCTCACCCTCAAAAAGAGGGTCGACGCGCCTTGTGGCGTTTTTGTTCTGTGATTTTCAAGTGAATAAAAATCACCTCAAAAGTCATTAGAATATATTTTTCGAAGAATGAGAGGGGCTAAATATGTTAATTTTCTAATTTCACTGTAAGCTGGCCTATGAATTCAATTTGGCATCATCATCCCGACATCCAATCCTCCAGTCCGTCCTCTTTGTCTGCCCGCCTCCCGATGGGGCGTCCGAAATGGATGAGCAGACTGTGTGGGAGGATTCCGGGGGGGCGGCCCCGGGGGTGGGGGTTGAGTTTGAAAAGCACCTGGGTCGTCTCTTGGCCGAAATTCAATGAGGAATTAAAACTATATACAGACCATTTTGCCCATCTTCTGGGCGAAGTGAAAGATGACGGCATGAGCGTCATAATAAATTTCACATCATGGAAAATTGTAGTCATTTCCATGAAAATGGTGGAATTTAATGAAATTCCAGACGCTTTGTTTTCCCCCCTCACCCCCCAGAAAAAGCCCGCAGAGACGCGCTGTGGGGAAAGTGTGCAGAGCGAGGCAAAAGAAAAGGGAATATCAAAAGCTCGACACAGTGCAAATACAAATTTTTAAGAGGTTATAAGTTTAATAATATACAGCCAAGTTGCCCTGCAGCGACACTCTGCTTACCATCGCCATTTTCGTGCTCCAAAGTTATATCATCCGCACTGATGGCGTGGTTTTCAAAATGAGAATCTAATATAGACTTATTCCTTGCGTATTTGCAATTATAAAGAGGCAAATGAGAGGCGAATATATGGTGTAAGAGAAATCATTCAAACAAGGTGTATTTCTGAAAGAGGAGCGAAAGAGTGCAGAAGAAACTTAATTTTTTTCCACCAGAGGAGTGAGCAAAATTGAGTATCTCAACTGATTTGTGGGCATCCTCAGGGGGTTCGCCTTGCGAATGCTGTGCAGAGAGAAAGTGGCGGAAAATGGAAATACACAAATTGCTGTAGGTGATTGTCGGGCCGAGAGAGAAGAGCCAAAGAGGATGGAAAGGAAGCAAAAGTGCTGAGAAATTAATCCAGAGTGGAGTGAATGGAAAAACCGGAACTTTAATCAACTCGACACTCACATCGCCAGTGGGCTGTCGACAAAATAGAGGGATGGATGACCGAAAAAAGTGAGTGAGAACACCTTCGGATTTCCCTTCGACAGCTCTCAATCACCGAAAAAGGGGATCTTGATTGCACAGCCACAGGACTTGAGCACCTGCGATGGTCAATTGGAGATTGAAAGCTGTGAGCTTTCAGAATTCATTTCCAACAATCAGAATCTCTGTCGTCATTCTATTTGTGTGAGTTTCTATGCCATGGGCGGGGCATTCGAGTGGGCGTGGCCTATTCGTTTATGGCCTTATTCTGCTTTGCTTTTAATTAGATAATCCATTTAATTCCAAACATCTTATATTCGCATTCAACAGCACTGGTCGATCTTTAATCCAGCTCAGATCTTATGTACTTCACGTGCACTGCATTGACCAGTGCTGCAGTCACGTCCGTGACGCTCGCCTCACTTGAATATTCCAGAAAGTGCTTCTTCATCCTTCCAATGAGAAAATGAAATTGAAAGTCGCCAGGAGAAAAACTGAATAGCGCTACAAAGAGACCTCTCAACATTGAAGTGTGCCTGAGTTATTCTCTTTTCAATTTTTCGCAAGCCATATCTTTTCCACGGCCATCACTGGGAGATCACATTCCACTTCACCCTTCCGCTTCGGCCCCCATTCCCGGGGCTTTCTGGGGTGCGCGCCGTTGGTTGGGGTGGAAATTTTTATGTATGCCCGAGGTTGTGGCGGAGTAAATTGCAAACAAACACTTTTGTTCACTTCATCGTGGCACTTTGTTTCTGTCAAAACCTCGGATACCAACGCTCCTCGGCATCACACACATGTCTCACAAGAAGGTGAGCGTTGGCGGTTGGGGTTGTTTTTGCGCCATGCTCCGGTACGTGTAGATGAGAATATAGAAATTCATTTCCCACACTTTTCCTGCCATTTCCTCTCATTTAATGCGCTCCCAGACAGTGTTTTCAAAGTTCTTTTGCGTGCTCTTTGTGACTTTTTCTCTCTCTCTCCGCTTTTATGTGCAAAGAACTCTTATTGCTATTTTGTTATGTTTCGCGGTGGGTCTAGAGCTTTTTAGAATGCTCCACGTTTAAGTTTTTTCCATATATACATAATTGAAATAAAGCCTGGAAGTTTTCCTCTCGGAGCTCTCTAAGACTCCGCAACGTATACTTGAGTGGTTTTGTAAGAACATTTTGTGACATATTTATTTGAAGTTGTCTTGCGCGGTGTGTGAATTGTAATTTCACTATCACTATCGCTGAGATGAATCACGAATAGGAAAACTGACTGTCTTTTCTCTCTCTCTTGCAGAAGGATCACATCGTGCTGGAGCCAACTGGATACGACACCACGAGTTGTGTGTCTAAAGGAAAAAGTCAGGTATGTTTATCTCCTGAATCTCCTCACAAATTTCTCCGTGAATCCCAGAAATACACAAGATGTGAAAACACACTAATTAAGTGTTGAAATACAAAAGTTTGATAGAAAGTTTGGGGGTGCAGAGAATGAAAGATTTATGGGCATTAATTGAAATGTGGAGAGAAAATCTCAGCTGGGAAGCGAGTAAGTTGGAAAATCATCTCTTATCAACTCACACTGACAAGGTATGAGTCGAGAATTGTGAATTTTAAAACTTTCCCGAAGCGCACACTGTGCGATATCCTTCTCGCCTGGGCGTCTTATACAATTTGTGGTCTATTATTTTATCATATTTCAACCTGACATGCCATTCATTCGAGTGAGAGAGAGAGTCAGGCTCACACGATGCCCTCCCGGGAAAATCTTTCGCGATGCTCGTTCAATTCACTGACATCCAGACAAGCTCTGCTCCTTGTGTGCAGAATTTTATCATTGCACATTGTACATTCTGCAAAAGAGGGGTGAGTTTGGGATGGGGTGGGAATAAAACTTGCGCCACTCTCGCTCCTTTATCCCATTCAATGCGATATAAGTAACATATTTTCCTCAAACATTTCGAGCTACCAGGGAAAATGGCAATGGGGAAATTCATGCAACACGGAAGAGCGAAAGAGGAAAATAGAGCCATGGAACTCGTATGGCTACAGCGACAATGTGCACAACATCGGAGGGAGAAAATTAAGTTATATAATATTGTGCGTGCTATAATGTCAAAGTTTCCTCATTATTGTATTAACACTGTGAAGCACACATTTACACTAAAACTCCAACAAGCCACCGAACCCAAAACTCCCAATGATCTCCTCACACGATCCACCCCCCTTTGCCCACCCCCTGAACTCTGCTTTATTCAGCAGTGCCACTAAATAACAACTATATAATGCAATTCACGGAAGAATATTCCGCCACCGAAAATATTTCATACGTGCAGCATCCGCACCAAACATACGTGATAATTTTTATTATGGGCCCATCAAATACACTAGAACTATAACTGAATCCATTCTCCTGTTCATAGTTATCTCCCCTAATTTTCCTCCTCTGCCTAACTAGACTCAGAGTTGGAAAACTTTAAGATAAGACTGCATTGAAGCACCACAGAGCTTTCTTACAGTTATCGGCACGGTAAAGATTAGATATTTCCCTCGAACCTGAGTTTCTTATTGTGTTACAGTTGGGAAAGTGTTAATAGAACACAAAGGGGTTAATAAGGTATATTTCAAATGTCCATTTGAAAATTTATATCTTAGAAAATAGGCTCAAAATAACGAACTCGAGAATTGCGTGCAGAACCTGAAGAAAAAGTGGAAAATGAAGTTGTTGAATTGATGTTTTAGGTTTGAACATTACACATTAGAGGATTAAGAGAATATTTTAGACCCTATAAGAGCGTTATAGAGAATTTTGGAGAGAAGACTTAGAAAAGGAATAATAATTTGAGCAGCTGAACGTGACTAAGATCAAATGAGGTAAAATCTGCAAGACAAAATTTAAAAAATCCGTATTTTAATACAGAAATTAGAAGATTTCAGGCACAGTTTAAGGAGAACTAAATTGTGTATTGATTAACACATTTTATGTATAAAAATTGGGAGGTTTTTCCAGTTTCACACACGTTTTTAACGTTAAACCTCGCTTAAAACCGTTAATTTCCGATTAAAAATTAAGTATTACAGCAAAAATGTCTATTTATTGGCGTTTCCAAGATATTCAATTGAGAAATTCGCCTTCAGGTCTTTCAAAATTGTGCACAATAATTCTATAATTAATTTCTGAAGTGATAACAAGATAAAATATCTGTTTCTTTTTCGAGAATAACTGCGAAATGAACCGAAAATTCACGAGGAAGGAAAGGATTTTCTGGAATGTGACTTTAGGCCAAGTGACACAGCATCCCCAATATTAGCAACCCCTTGATAGAACACAGAAAAAGTTGAATTATTTGAGATGCTATCATTTTTTGTCACACTTTGCCAGTTCATCTATGACGGAGTCAATGATAAGGGAGACATGAAATAGCGCAAGAGGAAGAGCGGCGGAGCTCATAGAATAGATCAAATTTTCCCTAAAGTGAAATTCTCCCATTTGAAGTGTTGAAAATATGTTTTTTTTTCGACACTGGGATGCAGAGGAGAATTTATGTCGAAGGGAAATTAAATTTCCTGTATCAAAAACACCTTTTCTCCCGCACATTTCGCATTTCTGCAAAAATATGACAAAATTGAATTTTTTAACGATGCACACTAAAAAATATCCCGTGAAAATTGAAGATCTCTTTTTATGCCTTTAGTGTGTTTGGTAGTTAAATTTTTCATCCCTCCGCGCGCACTGTTCACGGCCAATCGACAGGTGGAGCTATTTAAAATCTCATGAGTTTCGTGCAATCTTGTTGGGAACTTTTTATCCAGTCGGTGGGGGAGAAATTTTTTTTCGCGCGCGAGTTTCCGCGATGAATTTGGTCGGTGGGATTTTGTTGTGGTTACAGAGAGAAAAAAAATGTAAATTCCTAATAAAATATTACGCAAATCCTTCACTAAATCACGCGATAATCCTTGTTTCGGTTTTTTTTCGGGGCGGCAGGAGCAGCAACAAAAAAAGGAAAACACAAATAAGGAGATCCGCAAAGTCACTTTCCTTTTTCCCCCGCAGAAATTTGCGCTTAAGCTTTATATGTGGCAGAGACACAATTGTTTCCATTTGTGCTTTTCTTTCCCGCACCTTCGCGAGGGGCGCGCGCGCCTCTCTTGGCACTTTTCTCACCTGCACAATCGATAATTGGGAAAATATATTCCGTCGTGGGTGTGAAAGATTCCCTCCCGCAATTTTCATTTAAGAGCTTTCTGTGTGCTAAACACCCATTTGTGCATCTTATCGCCGAGGAACACCTTCGCAAGGGGCCTCAGGTATCGATTTTTTCCCACCATCGTCACTGTCACGACGCCAAGGAGGGCGTCTTGATGCCAATGGTGAGCATTCCCGACGATGCTCCACACGAGGGAAGATGATAAGTCCGATTTTTCTGCCACGCACTGTATAGAATGGCGAAGGGTGGCCTCGTGCATCTCACCCTGTATCATCATCATCATTCAGGGGAAGATCCACCCTCGACATCGCATCCGCTCTCTATTTATATGCGATTATCTTACGCACAGTCGTGCTCCTGCCATTCGAGAGCAAGTCGGGGTGTGAGTGCGTTGAGCAAATTTGGGGTGAGAGAGTGCACAGCAGATAAAACGGGGAATTCTCCAGCAACCCCCAAAAATTTGTGATTCACCGGCTATCATTCTTTTACTGCGTGTGGCTTTCCTTCATGGAATAATTTTCCACGCAGTGTTCCACACGTGTCTTACTGAGGCGGTGAGCAAACAGAGTTGGAAATTGTCTAGTTTGGGGCGGGGCCTTCGAGTGGGCGTGGCCACGCATCTTTGAATCCTCCGCCTGGGAGAGTGCGGCGATGATCTGGAAAATATTTGAGCAGGGCGAGAGCACATATTTGTCCAAGGAAAGTGATATTAAGACATGGATATGTGGAGTGTAAACTACTCGGCCGTCTCGCGTAGTTTGCCATGATGGTTAGCGTCACAAGAAATGGGATTGGAAGTTTCTACAGACGAGATACTCTCGTTGGCAAACTTTATCGATGCACCAACGGATGAATAACTTTCATCAAGATGGATATGATGTTAATGTTTTGTAGATTTTGGGCTGAGGATGGCGGAGGCCAGAGGTGAAACTACACCCCAAGATTAAACTCACATGGAGCATTTCCTCTATTTGCACAATTTCTCCAGATGGATATGTATGTAATGTGGTATGAACTTTCCATAATTATCATTGCATTCACTGCTATATACACACATTTTATTCCACCTTTCACCACTGTTTGGGGGTGGTTGGCAGTGAGTGGAATTTGCAGCATATTTGCTGAGAACATGCTTGGTGGAATTTGATTATTCCATCTTGGGATAGATGAATTGTCCCAGACACTTGTGGGGAAAAATATGGATTTACAGCATATTTGTGGCCTCATTCAGTTCACTTTGAATTAGAATGTCATACAAATGCCATGCATTTTCAGGGAGTCTTTTATTCAAAGTCAAAGTTAGTGCGCCTCTCAAAGGTGTGTGTAAAAAGTTTCTCATAAAATTTCTAAGGCAAGAAGATAACATTGGAATATCAACCCTTTCTGGGGTGAAATTTGCATCCTATTGAAATGTTTTGGTGCCGTTGGAAAGTGTGTCGGATACATTGTCAAAGAGACTTCACTATTTTGGCACACTTTGACAAAGTGGCAAGTGCCACAGAGCCACTGCAGAGACATCCCTTGAGTGACAAAGCTCGACGACATGGACACAATGACTCTTCACGAGATTGAAGCACTGTGCTGGCAAAAGTTCTTCTTACTCTTTTCCTGTCTCCCACAAAATACCAAGCCAATTCATCTGCCAACAAGAGCAGAGCACTATTATTATATTCCTCTGAGCATTTGATATCGGGAAACAATGCCACTCACTATTTTGGCTACATTTGCAAATTGGCCACCCGAATGTCAGGTGGGAGAAGCACCCATTGAAAGTTTCGAGGGTCGTCCTCAATTGCTCTCGTGTTTTCCCACCGCAAAACATTCGCGTGCAACTTTTCAGCTGCGATGATCTCTTGTCCAACCCGCTGAGGGGGAGGTGAAGCTTTTGGTGGAATTTCCAAGCTCTGTATATCAAAAGTTTGCCGGACAGGAATTTATCAAAAGCTCACAAGTGCAAGCCAGAGGGGTTTGGTGTACGTTAACATGCTCCTTAGCGCGCAACTCCTTTTGCAACATTCTACATCAATTAACTTGCACAAAAGGTGTTTCTCTACTCTGTTTCCATCAACTTTCCCAAGGCATTATTTCACTACAAAGTGTCACTCAATGTCCTGTGTTGTACTCTCTCTCTCTCTTGACGAGCATTTTTTTATCTTCA